CGGGGCGGTGGTGCGGCCCCGCAGTGGCCCTGGCCGTGAGATGAGAAGGGGCGTGGGCTTTCCCTGGTCGGGGACGCGAAGGCACAGAGGGTGGACCCCGGCCGCGCTGACCACGTCGCCGCGCAGGGCTTCTCCCCGCAGCTGGGATGCGAGCGGACGCGGCCTGCGGCGGTGGGGCCGAGGGCGCACTGTCCAGCGGTCCGGCCGCGTCCTTCCGGCGCAGCAGCGCGCCATTGCCGGGCCGGGGACCGCAGGACCCCTCGGCCTTCCCGCCCTGGGCAGCTGGCGCTCGGACAGCCGGCCTTGCAGTGAGCGCGTGTCCCGGGGGCCCTGGTTGGGCCGGGAGCCGACTGCTGACCTTTGCACTCTGGCCCTGGGTCCGGGCTGTAAACTGGTCTGGGCCGCCGGCGGGCGGTTCGGCGCTGGTTACACGCCCCTCTCCCGGGTCCTGCGTTACGTAACCGCGTCCTCAACTCCGGGCGCATTGAGAAAAATCCCGGGTCCTGCGTGGAAATAGAAGGGAACTCCTGACCTGAATTTTCTCAAAAAGAGAAAACTCAGAGATTTTTTTTTTTTTTTTAAGTTTTTGCATTCACCGTTTGCTATTAATCATGCCTTTTATTAAAGTAATCCCTGCTTTGTTCCTGACGCTGCCTGTTGTACATACTGAGACAGTAGACCCCAAGTTTGGCTCTTCTGGAGGTCCTGCCCCTCCTGGGGGAGGTTAATGAAGCTCGCTCTCTGCTGATTTATAAACCAAAGTGCTGAGTCACTCGTGATGCGAGATAGCTGGTTCAGGCGTGGAGAGGTTTTTGTTTTTCTGTTTTGCTTAGTCTATAAAAAGAGGGTTACACGGAGTGGAAACTCAGGCAGGGATTGTTGGGCCATTTTCTGAGTGTACGTGCAGCAGGACACTCACTGGCCATCCAGCCCAGCGAGTCACGTGGGACCACACAGCTGCCCCGTGAGATGGGACCTGGGCGGCTGCAGCTCCTGTCCTCGGCGCTGCTTCGCTTCTCTCTTGTTTACTTGTAAGAGGACTGTGCAACCGATGGCTGCCAAACCCACAGACAGAACCTTTCCCCTTGGCTTGGATCCCTGTGACCAGCAGTTCTCCCCGCGGAGCTCAGACACAGAGCTGGCCTAGTCCAGTTACAGTTGAGGAGGGGAATGCCTGACTGCAGGAGGGGACAGACAGTATTGTGCCCAGTTGCTCATAGGGTAGGTAGGATGGGGTAGTGGTGGTGCAGGACTGACTTCTTAGAAGAACGCACACGTTTCAGAGCTGAGCATCTGGAGTTGCCTCAGCTCAGTGCAGTGCGTGCCCATTTCCTCCAGGAGAGCAGAACCCGGTGCCTCCTGTGCCAGCTTGTGCCTGCAGCTTAGCCTGTGGTCTGTTGGCGATAGGCGTTGACCATGGATGAAATGTATGGCGAGAAAAACCATTTGTATTTCTGTTAAAGGGAAATGTTAGCATCTTGCTAGATGCTAGAACTAGGAGAGATTTCAGAGGCCTAGATTAGAACCCCAGTCCTGCATTTTATAGAGGGTTAAAAGGAGGAGAGTTTATAAATACATACAGCATGCAACAGCAGTTAAGGGACTGTCTTGGGCAGAGCCTCTCCAGGAAAGAAATGCCTGTGGACACATGGTGCCTTCACAGGCCAGCGAAGGAAATCAGTCACTGGGATCATTTACACAGCGGATTTGATGTTCAGATTATTTGTCATCGAGTCTCTGTCTCCAGGGTAATCTGAGAAGCTTTTAAATGTAGAAACAGCAGTTTCTCTGGGAGAATACCTTCTGGGCAATTTTGGTGACTTTGATACCAAGTTTAGTACCGTCTCTGCCTTTGCCGTTTTCTCCATCATGTCACATACTTCTTGCACATCCCTGTTCTGATATTACCCACTGTCTTTTAAGTTGCCTACCTGCCTGTCAGTTCCTCAGACAGTCTTCAACCCTGGCCTCACATCACCGTTGGCCTGGTTTCCACTCTTGTTCTGAATCAGAATTTTCAGAGGCTTGTGGGTACTATTTTACGGTGAATTTTGAAAAAGCAGTACAAGTTATTTTCCCTTCATAGTGGAGAAATACTGCCACAAACTTTGGGAGCCTTGAGAACTAGGCAGGCCCTGGTTTATTCTCTCTGCAGGGCTCTCTGCTAGCTTAGCCAGTGTGTGCTGGGGAGTCAAGGCAGAAGGGAGAATTGATACTGAGGGATTCCTGGAATTGGTCGTAGTAAAGGTAGCAATTGCTTTGGGCCCTCAGAGAAGCTGGAAGTTTCACACACACACACACCCCCACACACCCCCACCCACCTTGTGTAGTGCTGACAGTGAAGTGATTAGTTGGCTGTCGAAAGATTGGCAGTGTAGACCCGTCTAGATGTCCCTCTGAAGGCCTCATGATTGCTTCTGAAGGTCACAACCGTGGCAACCATGGAGCAAGGTTCTGCTCTGCACATAGGGGAATGACAGCTGGTTTGATACTGAACAAACCTGTTACAAGACCTTGTGAAGTGATCATTTGAGGACTAGGAGGAGCCTGACCCAGTCCTGGCTATTTTCAGTTATATGTATGTGAAAGCTGGACAGTGAATAAAGACGACCACAAAAGACTTGATAGCTCGCGTTACAGTGTTTGTAAAGACTACCGACTGTACTGTGGACTGCTGGGATACACACGTTTATCTGAGGAGAGCATGGCGAATGCTCCTCAACAGGGAGGCCACTTGGAGAAGGCTTCATCTCGTGTTCTCTGGCGGTGTTACCTGGAGAAGGACATCATGCTTAGTAAAGTGGAGGATTGGCAGAAAGGAAAGACCACCCTCAGTGAGATGGACCAGTACAGTCGCTGTCCCAGTGCAGCAGGACTGGGAGCATCACACAGGACCCAACCGTGCTCGCGTGTAAACACGCACAGATGTGTGAATGTCAGTGGATGCTCAATTAACTGAGAACAAATGAAACTTAAAAATGGGTGAGAACCCAGAAATATTAGATCTTTGATCTCTGAGATCTGTCATATCTTCTGTCATAATATGCTTTAAGCACTGTTCATAGCTGAGACAGTCCATGAATCTTAACCCCCCTTGTTCAGAGAGGATTTAAAACAGACTTGGAGGTGTGTCTTGGTTTACAGTGTGATAGGGGGAAAAGGAGAAGTACAAAAAAAGGTACTAAGAGTGAAGGCTTGCCTTTGAAAAGCAGCACTTATTCCTTATAAACAAATTTGATCATGGGCAAGTTTTTTGTGTTTTTTTTTTTTAAGTTGGTTAATGCAAACTTTCCCCCATCTTTCTTGCTTAAAAACGTTAGTAATTGCAGTGGACAATTGTAAAATATCAGTAGATAACATACATTTTAATTTTCTTGGAATTGTACTTTGTGTACCTAGTAGTGGTAAATTAATATAAATCTTGTTTATTAAAATCATCCCTTGATACACAGCTTTTTGCTGTAGATAATCCAGAATGAGATTTTGTCCCCCCTTTCAAAGATGTTTGGTGTCATTGAGTCAGTTTTTGACCCAGCAGTGCTGAGGGCTCATTGGATGAGGCAACTTCAGAAGACGTGCACCTCTCTTTATGTAGTGTGACCTGCTCCCTAAACTGCACTGATGCCAGACACTGTAGGAAAAGCTTAGTGAGCTAACTCAAGCCAGGTCTGGAACCTGAGTTAACACAACGGGGGCTTTGATCCATGGCCCGGTGCCTTGGTTCCAGCCCCTGGACCAAGCTAGGTGGCTGGGGTCATCTTGAACTCTCCAGGAGAGAAAAGGGGTTGTTGATGTTTGAGCTTTGTGATGAGGGCTGACAGGAGCAGGCACTGAGAAATGGAGTTGGCAGCATGATTTCAGGGCTGGTTTTGGGTATAAATAGATCTGGAGTCATTTCAGCCTTTGCCTGCTGTTGCCCAGGATGCAGTTTGGCGAGGCTTTCTGGTCCAGTAAGCTGCAGGCTCACTCCAGCGCAAACCTTGACCTTCCTGGGGTGTTGCCTGTGCAGCCTGATGCCAGCATGGAGCACTGACAGATTCACAGAAAAGTCATCTTTTGAGAACTTGTGTGATCATTTAGTTAGTGGTTAGCTAGGACATTGCTGATGATCTAAGCTGCAGGTCTCCATTTTATTCCTGGGCCTCTGGTTGCTTTTTTCTTTTCCACAGGCATGTGCTGTATGTGGTTTAGAAAGGCTTGGCTTGGACTTTGAGAAGCCCGGCAGGTTGGGAACTGCAGTCAACCTTGGCTTCCGACTGACAGTGGTGTGACTACCAGTCAGCTTCCTTTTTCTCTAATTATATGGAATTTTGTTGTGCCATATTGGCTTAAGGACAGAGAAGCAGCTCAGTGATTATTATTGTACTTCATAAAATTATAGTGACTACAGAGTTTATCTAGTGCATGAATTTTCAGCCTTTCTCCTCTCCTTACTTCAGTAAATTCTCATGTCCCGCCAATGTCAGCTACAAACATATTTCGTGTAGATAACTAGAATTAGGACACAAACAGTGAAACCAGACTGGATCCAGAAATAAGCCTGTGACTTATGCACAGTAACTGATGACAAAGGAGGGACCACGAACAGAACGGGGTAGAGACAGGCTTTTCAGTAAATGGAACTGGATAGTTGGATATCTGGACAGAAGACTTAACCTCTGTTTCTCATCATACATGACAGTCATTCTAGGTGGGATTTAGATCTCAACATACAAGTAAATGAAAGCTTTCTGAGTAGATAGAGAAGCTCTCGGGTGGCCTAGTGGTAAGACTCGCAATCCCAGAGCCACATGGTTTGGATCCCTCAGCTGCTCCGTAGGAGAAAAATGAGCAATCTCCTTCCTCAGGATTAACTCTGAAAACACACTGGAGGGTCAGCTATGAGTCAGTTCCAACTTAATAGCACACAACTCCAACACCAACATTCATGACCTCAGCAGAGGATTTCTCAAATAGGTTAGCAAAAAAAGCACTGAGACAAGGAGGAGATGGTAAATAACTTCAAGAACTTTTGCTTATCAAAGACATCACTAAGAAAGTAGTGGAGAGGTAAGCCACCCAGCACATGCTATTTGCTGCCACATATTTAATTGAAATAAGACTTGTATCTGGAAGTTAAAATTTTTACCAATCAAGAGAAAAACCACAAACCAACAGGAAGATAGAGTAAGCTATTTTAGCAGCCAGTGGACAGATCTCTAAATGGTCAGCAAGTGGATGAAAAAGTGTCCCGCCTCATTAGAAATCTGTGAACGGGCATGTGAACCAGCAGATGATGGCTAAAACTGGAGGCTGAGAACCAGAGGGAGGGCGTGGATGCAAGCAGCAGACGCATCCCTGGCTTGTAGTGTGAGCTGTCATAAGTCGGCTCCACACACATCCGTGTGTGTATTCCCCTTAACCCAGCAGGCCTGCTTCTTAGGAGCAGATCCCACAGAGCTGTGTGCCCCTCCAGGGCTCACGTCAGCTCCCTGGAGCCTGTGGCTCTTACCTTATTTGGATAAAGAATTTTTAAAGATAGGATTAAGCTAGGCCTTTGTTGTATTATCCTGGATTATCCAGATGAGCGCTAACTGCCATCACAAGTGTGCTTATAGACGAGAGCCTTGGCACTACCCACACGCAGGGTACAGCCCCCCTGTGATTCCCAGTCACCAGAAGCTGGAAGGGGCAGGAGCAGACTTCTCTGGGAGGAATGTGATCCTTCATTTCTCTTCTGTTTTAGACTCAGACATCAGAGATAGGAGAGACTTTTCTTTTGTCTTCAGCCATCAAGTTTATAATAATGTGTCATGGCCACAGAAGGCTAAGATGTATGCCACGTGACAAGAATGCTTATGAAGTATTATTTGTAGTAGCCACAACCCAGGTATCTTACAGGATGGATAAATCATTTTGTAATCCTACAGTGAAAGTCTGTACAGGCACAAAAAATGGAAAGGGGGGAAAATAAAAGGTGACATGAATGAAGCCCTAGATGTGTTGTGGCCGCCTTGGGTCTGTGAGCTTGTGACCTTTCTCAGCCCCACCTCAGACCTGAATCCTGTTGCTAGATATCCTCAGAGTCCTGTCTGTCCCCTCTCAGATCAAGGTGGTATCATCCCTCCATACCCCCCACTCCCCGGCCAACTGTCCTCCTCCTTCAGCCCACCGTCTCCACAGACGCTGACTAGCCCCCCTGCTCCCGACGGCCCCCCTGCTCCTGGCAGCATTCCCCCTTCAGAGGCTGTCCCTCGGTGACTGCCTCCGGTGGAGCACAGTGTGACGCAGCACTGTCCACACACGAGGGTCAGACTGAGGCCCGCAGAACATGACCAGCTTTGGAGAGCAATGGCTTTCACTGGGGCTTCTGAGCCTGGAGGGGTGGGGAGCCCATGACAAGGACTTGGTCATGTGGAATGTTGTGTTTGTTTGTTTTTAAATTTAAGCCTCTTGTTTAGTGTCAATGAGATTTCCTGGAGGGACCTTATATTTCTCCATTTTAGAACTGGGCGATGCAGGGACACTGTAAGATGGGCACTCTTGTTCTGGATTGTTGTCATGTGGAATGTTGGTTGGTTTGTTTTCTTTAAGCCTCTTGTTTAGTGTCAACAAGACCTCCTGGAGGGCCCAAGGGCCTCATGTTATATTTTGGAGGAACATTCTTCCAAGTCGTACAGCACTCGTCTGTCAGTTTGCTGTACTGAGGTAATAATCTGGATTTGCTGTGATGCTGAACCTTGTGCCATTGTGGTGTCAAATGCCATATTGGTTGCCCATGATGGACAGTGTTTTGTGGAGCTCCCAGTTTAAGAGGGGTTTGGAAGTGGGCGTGGCATCTACTTCCTAAACCACATGCCTCTGGAATCTCTATCAGCTTGGAGAAGTCACGATACAGAAAGGCTTCAAGTCTTCACAGGGTCACTATGAGTCATGCCCGACACAACGGCAGTGAACAACACCTGTGCTCAAACCGTTCTTTGAGTCTGTACACTTCTCTGGATAGAAACAGCTAATGAATGATAAGTAGTCATTTTTAATCCAAGTAGTAAAGAATGCTCATCTTACTTCCTGGGAAGACTTGGGAAAAGAAATGCTTTACAGGGTGAGCTATTGGGCTGGTTAATCAAGTTGACTGATTGCAGCTTCATCAAAAATTACTTCAAAATATGTAGTCTGATTTCCAGTGTAAATGGAGACAGGATAGCAGTCGGGCGTGTGAATGTGGGGGCCTCAGTGTCCGTGTGCAGACCTAGCACGTGAAGATATAGTTTAAAGGAATTTTTTTTGTCTCCCCTTCAGCTTTTGTTGACATTAGCCTTTTTCTCTAAAAGTTGAGTATAGGGGAAAAAAAGTTGAGTGTCCTGGGAAATAGGATTCTGAGGAACCTTGTAATGTATTGAACATCTTGATATCAAACAATGGCAAGAGATAAGACTGTCTCAACACCAGTCCAGGTGTGCCCTGTGCTTTGTCCAGGGAGGACAGGTGTGCCTGTCCCTGATGTGTGGGGCACTGGAAGCAGGCCTGGTGGTGCTGTTAAGTGAGATGCTTTGGTGCGTCCCCCGGTGCCCCTCTTGTGAAAGGGAGAGGGCCACGTTTGTGGATGGTGGGGACTCCAGCAGTGCTCTTTGCTTTGCCTCTCAAAGGCTCCTGGGTGGAACTGCACTTCAGCAGCGGGAATGGGGGCAGTGTGCCCGCCTCAGTGTCTGTTTATAATGGAGATATGGAAAAAATCCTGCTGGACGCCCAGCACGAGTCTGGACGGAGCAGCTCCAAGAGCTCCCACTGTGACAGGTGAGTGACTGGCGGCACCAGCTTCCTGAGGGGACCCGGGATCTGCTGGATGGGTGGGCCCTGGGCTCTGTGCTTAGTGCCCTCCAAATTGTTGAAACAGGTGAGTGGCCCCTCTCCACTGGCAGAAGGCGACCAGGGCTTTCAAGTGGCAGGGCCCCACGGCTTTCCAACATAGCAGCTTGCCTTGGAGCATCAGGCTTCCTGAGTTCTGAGTTCAAGATAGCCCCGCCCCCTCAGCAGTGGTGTTTCTCTTCAGGTTCAGAGGGTCTGGCTGCGGAGGACTGTGAACTTGGCAGCCTGACTGAGTCCAAGCCAGAGGCCAGGGTCCTAGGGCTGTTGTGGGGACAGTGATGCTGTGCTTAGGAAGGAAAGATGAACCTGCTGAGTCTTGTTCCTCTAAGTCACAAGACCACAGGGACAGATGGACGTTTGTCTGGGGCTAGGTGGGAGGGAAGGCGACCCCATTGAGCGAGAGCCTCCCTGTCCCCTCGGGGAAGTGCCTGCCTTTTGGGGTTTTCATTTCTAACAGAAAGGTTGCTGATAGCGCTTCTCTTCCCACTTTTGTCCCCACTGATATCAAGCCCGCCTCGCTCACAGACCCCACAGGACACGAATAGAGGGGAGGCGGATACTCACAGCATTGGGGAGAAGAACAGCTCTCAGGTACGCTGCGCTGCCTGCTGTCTGTCTGCACTGACGTGACAGCCAGGAGAGCCTGGGGCTCCGATCTTTACGTTCTAATAACTACGTGGTGGGAGAGCCTCAAAATGTGGGCTTCACTTTGAGCTTACGGCAGAACATGAAGTGGGGCCCTGCTGTTAGGGGACATGTGGGAGGCTGGAGGCCTTGTAGGGGGTGAGCCACCATGGGAGGTGGCTGAACACGTGATGACCAAACTCTTCTTGTTTATCCAGTGGACACTGAGCGGCTTTGCTATCTGACAGTTCTGTGGACAAGAACAGCCTGTGAGGCCAGCCAGCAGTGCTGTGGTCAGCATTCTGTTCGGGGGCTCCTTCGCAGGCACTCTGCTTGCTCACTAGATACTAGACCCCAGGCCTTTTCCGACATCCAGTTATGAATTGGTACCTAGGGAGTTGGGCTCTGCTCCCCCGTTGGGTGTTTCTTAATGCTGAGGTTTCAGCGATTCTTGGAATACAACCAGTTGAATTTTCCTGTATTTCTTGAAAGTCACCCTTGAAGGCATGAGCCCCACTAGGACTGCTCAGTTACTCTGCCTCCCGTGCTGTTAGCAAGGCCTTGGGCGGAATCTCTCTGGTGTAAGCAGCAGGGCTCAGCTGTGTTGGTTTCTGTGAGGCCATGGGCAGGATGAGTTCCATCTTCCCGTGTCTCCCTCATTTCTGAGGCCGGCTTCTCCTCAGGGCACTATGCCCTGCTTGTTATTATTAACTGTTCCGAGTTAATACAACTCCTAGTGCCTCTACACAGCTGAACAAAACATGGCCCAGTCCTCGCCTCCACAGTCTTGCTGTGGTTATCCCACTGTCACTCGGTCAGTTCCTCTCACTGAGAGGCTTCCTCTCCTTCATTGGCTCTGCTTTCCGGATGTGATGTTCTCCACCAGGGTCTGGGTGTTTCTGGTGGTGCCCACTCCTTTCTTCTCAGGAGCACACTGGCTTCACTTCTTCCAGGACAGATTTGTTTGTTCTTTGGCCATCCACAGTATGGTCACTGGGCAATACTTGATCATTTGGTGCAGCAGCCACACACGACTCAAGAGGCTGTATTCAGGCGTGTGGTTTACTGGAGAGGTACAGCTAACAACTTGGAATCAGCATCAGGATGCACATAGGCTGGTCTGGAAAAGCCCTTGGAGGACAGGTCAGTGCTTGAAGACTGCCCTTGGCTAGCGCCCTGTACTCCTTGCTGACAGCAGCCAGTGGGCCGGCCTCCTGTGTCACTGCCTGGCTCTGCTCATAACCAGGGACCACTGGACTCCCACAAGGCTCTGCTGTCCATGAGAAGCCAGTCATCTCAGGCCTTGTTAACACCAGACAAAAACACCCAGCCATCAGGCTGTTTATTCTTAACCCAGAAAATGGTCATTTACTCTGGGAACCCCCTCCCCCAGTTTGCTTCTCTCGAGAACTAGGGCAAAAGTAACATCTCAGGGGTAGGAGGAAAACTCCCAGAAGTTGGCCCAAACAACAGGGAAATGGGGACATAAGGAACTTAATATATACCACAGCCTATGAGACCAATACGGAATATTTCACGGACTGCCAAAAGAACAAGCAGGAATTTCTTGGAGAAAATGCATCTGGAATGCTCCTTGGAGGCAAAGATGACAAAATTTCGTCTCACATACTTGAGGCATATTGTCCTTGAAAAAAGACAGCATGCTTGGAAAGGTAGAAGTTTGGTGAAAGAGAGAAAGACCCTCGAGATAGATGGACACAGTGACTGAAGCAAGGATTCGGGTGTGTCAGAGGTGATGGCGCTGGCACAGGGTAGGACAGGTTTCTATCATAGGGGCATCCTGGCAGTGGTGCTTCCAGGTCAGATTTGCTTATTTTTCTGGCAGTCGATGGTTGGGGGAAAATGGTCAATTTTTTTTTCCTCCCCCCAAAACCATAATTCAGAACATTTTTTGTTTTCCTTATTCACTGTGCAGCTTGTGGTAAGGTGTTGTCACGTTAACTCCAGCTCATGGAGACCCCGTGAACAACAGCTAGAAAACTCCCCGAGCCTGAGCTCCCCTCACTCTCCATGTTAAGGGCAGTTGTTGAAGTCACTGTGGGTCTTGCTGGCCTTTGGTGACTCTCTCCTTTTCCCAACACAGTGCCTTTTCTAAGGATGGGACCTCCTGGCAGCATGCCCAGGGTGTGTGAGAGACAATGTCCTCGTTCCGTCTGTATCTCTAAGGAACACCTGGTTGTACTTCCTCTAGTGTTTCTGGTGGTCCATGATATAGTCAGTACTCTTCACCAATGTCATGAGGCAACAGTTCTTCAACCTTACTTAATTCATTGTCCAGATCTCACATGCATAGAAAGTGACTGAAAATGTCAGGCTCATTTTAACTGTAAAAGTTAGATCTTGCTTCTTAGCACTCAAAGAAGGTACTTGGTAACAGATCTTCCTGGTACAACCCATTGTTGGTCTTTGACAGCTACTTTCATGTACATTGATTGTAGATCTAAGAAAAATGAAGTACTTGACATTTTTGACTCCTTTATCTTGATGTGGTTCGGTTGTGAGAATATCTCTACTATGGTGATGTTGAAGTCTTTGATTATCTTCAGTAAATGCTTCAGCGCCTCTTCACTTTGGGCAGACGGGTGTCTCATCTGTATTCTGCAGGTTATTGGGATTGCAGTGCAGTTTCTTACCACTAGGCCACCAGAGCTCCTCTTTGTGATAGCTTGTGGTTGTTGTTGTGTATTGTTGGGTTAATCCCACAGGAGATAGCCCATTGTCCTCCTTCGGAGCAGCTGCTGGTTTGAACCGTGTTTCTCTGGGTTTTTGATAAGTCTTCCTCCAATTCTCATACTCCGTTCTTCTTGGTTCAGCTTCTTGGATTATTTACTTGCCGTATAGATTGTGTAAGTATGATGAGAAGATACAACCCTGAACCATACCTCTCTGGATTTTAAACAAGGGCTACAAACTGATTCTTCCTGGTTCAGTCAAGGATAAAGGAGAAGAACCAGAACAACAAACGTTTAAAAATTGCATGAACTGGAATACCTGGACCTGAAAAAAATGATAGGTGTTACCCCAGCTAGAAACGAAGTCATCGTCTCAGGAAACAGGCAGTGCACGTGTTGCGGAGCAGCCTGGCCCCTCGAGTGCTGGGTTTTGAGCAGTCAGAAATGGCACTGCTCTTTCAAAAATGTCAGTCTGTCCTGTTACCATGAATGTCTGTTGTTCTACAAGACCCAGTTACTGTTCAATACCAACCCAAATGTTATACTTTGGGTATGTTAAATTTCATTTTCGTGGCCACGATTGAACCTATTTGAAGTACCCTGTAGTTTTGTTCCTCTTACTCTGTGCAGGTTTTAGTCATGAGCACAGCTGTGTTCTAGAATTCTCAGTCTTCACAGTGGTATCCATAATTTGTTGTGATTCACAGTTGAATGCCTTTGTAGCCAATAAGATGACTTGACATCTTTCTGGCATTTTCTCTTTTCAGCCAAGAAGTGACATCAGCAGGGATATCTCTGTTTATGTTCTGAATCCAGCATGGGTTTTTGTCAATTCTCTGTTGATACACAGACATAACCATTTTTAACTCTTCTGAGCAAAATTTGACTTGCATGTAATGTTTTGTTAGAGCCAGTCGTTCACACAGGTCTTCCTTGTTCATTGTCCCTCTAGCCACTGGAGATGATTCCCTTGAAGATTGTTCTGAGAGAGACTCCTACTCTAAGGGCTGGGTGTCCTTGGGAAGGATCCCCGCTTGAAGCTCCCACCGCCTTCCCCAGCCACTCTGCAGCCCAAGTCAGGGTGGGGCAAGCCACTCTGTACTCAGTTGTCTCATGCTGCGTGCAGCAGGATCGTCTCCTTCTAACGTCACACTTGTTTTCCTCTAGTCTGAGGAAGATTACATTGAGAGGAGGAGAGAAGTGGAAAGCATCTTGAAGAAAAACTCAGACTGGATATGGGATTGGTCAAGTCGGCCAGAGAACATCCCCCCCAAGTGAGTCTGTGTTTAACGCCACGATCTTCCTTTTGCAGAAAATCCGTGGCCTGACACTCCTCTCTTCTCCCCTAGGGAGTTTCTCTTTAAGCACCCAAAGCGCACAGCCACCCTCAGCATGAGAAACACGAGTGTCATGAAGAAAGGGGGCATCTTCTCTGCAGAGTTCCTGAAGGTGTTCCTCCCGTCTCTGCTGCTCTCTCATCTGCTGGCCATTGGCCTAGGGTGAGTGACCCGTTACCCCTCGCCTCCCACGTGTTGTCCTTGGAAGCTGCCCTGGAGCTGCCTCACAGGTGACCAGGACACGTAGTGGCCAGGCGTCATAGCAGAACACTGCTCCTTAGGACTTCTGATTAGCAGCCTGAGCTCGTCATCTACACCAGAATCGGGGGAGGTGGGTAGGGTGGTGGGCAGTTCTCCAGTGACGTTCAGTTGGCCGAGGTGCACACCCTACACTAGTATTGGACATGCTGTGCTGTGAAGACCACAGTAGAGTTGAATGCCTAACAGAACACACATATATTGATGAAAAATAAGAAGCTTGTTGTAAGACTAGATTCATTACAGAAGTTTAAAAAATGGTTAAAGTTAGTCCAAACCAAGACCCCAGACCCAGTATCCTCAAGTTAGGGTGTCCCTCCGTCAGGTTTCCGAGGCTATTGCATCCCCTTCCGCAGATATCACTGGTGTGAAGGCCCCAAGACCACACTAACTGCTGTCACTGTTTCTCTTAAGGATTTATATTGGAAGGCGCCTGACCACCTCAACTAGCACCTTTTGATGGAAACTGGACGCGAGTCTCTTTCCGTGGGGACACTGAATTCACCAAGGGCCAGCTGACAGGACCTTCGTCCTGGTGGCTGCTTGCCGGGGTGTGTCCTTTAAACGCAGTGTTCCCAGTTTAGTGATGCAGGAGTGACAACAGCTCCGGAACCTGTAACCACACCTGTGGGATCCGTGTGTGAGCGTGCCAGGGTGACTGTGCCTGCTGAATGTCTGGCAGTCAGCTGTCTTTGGGTACTAGATCTACATACCAATAATTCTCATCTAAAAATCATGATGTATGTAGTATTTTAACAAAAATTACCTGTACCTGTAGTTTAGTTCAAATACTTTGTATATTTCAGAGTAATGAATAATGTTGATATAAAAATGACTATAGCCATGAGGCTTGTCCCATATCAATTTTGTGGCCTTTCTGTCACACTACCATGGAGCGCGTCTTGTGCTGGATGCAGTGGGGACAGCCGACTCTCGAGAAGACTGCCAGCGGTGCTGGTTACTGTCATGTGAGCAGCTGTCCACAGTGCAGTGTGGGGTTGAGCGTGTGTGGGTGTGAACCTCCACTGGTGGGTGACCAGCTGCCCAGGGCGCCTGCACTTCATCTTACTGTTCTTGCTCAACTTTCTGTGCTTTATACTCGGCTTTTCGCTAAGCAAGTCTGTGCATCTACTTTAGAGACTGGAAAGACACAATAAAGGTTTGCTGAACCTGAGATGACTGTTTTTACATTTGGTTTAAAACCCAACTTCACAAAAGCTTTTTGATGAGACAAGAACTGCCTGTTCCTCACTGTCCTCTTACTTCCCTTTACTGTGGCAGTTTTTGAAAGGTCTCTGATAAAGCGTATCTGTGTTATTCTGTATTTGTCTAGCTTTTTTCACATTTAATTCTATTGTGTTGAAATAAATGTAGCATTTTCATTTTGAACCTCTTTGTTGCTACTTCCACAATTACCCTGAGGCAGCAGTCTCTGCACTGGCAGAACCCTGTGGAGTGGTGCCAAGTTTTCCTTGTCATCCCTGTGGAAGGAGAGCAGGCATGACGTCTGATGGAATGCACTGGTCCAGCGGGAAGCAGACTGTCTGGCATCAGAAATGATCTGCTCTCTCTAGTTGCTGAGCGGTGTCTTGGTGATGGCCATAGCATTGCCACCATTGAGATGACACCGAGGTTTTATCTGCCTGGGGTAAGGCCCATCGCATGTGTCTCCTGGCATCGATAGTGTCAGCAGCACACTTGTTGGGAGGAGCTGCAGTGTGAAGCCTTGCTGCCCTGCAGCGCTTACCAGATATGTGACATCTAGACCGGTCCTTTTTGAGGCCTCTCTCACCAGGTGATGTCACCACCAAACTACACAGAAAGAGGTTTTCCCTGCTATCCAAAACTAGGGCATTCCTGTGAAAGGTTTGCAAGCTGAAATGGTAAACTGAAAAAGCAGTTTAGTATTGATTCATAGAGGAAATACTTCAAACATTCCTGGCTCTACCCTCAAAATAATCTACCAGTTCATAGCAAAAACACAACACCTAAAACAGTAATAACAAATGGTGTTCACAGACACAGCTGGACGCTCTGGCGGCTTGATACTGAGCACCCTGGTCAGGGTGGTGGTGTCTCTGCTGAGTGCAGTGCTTGGCTCACGGGAAGGCAAATGCTGAATGCTCCTTCCTTCAGGGAGCACTGGAGCTTAGGATTTGGGCTGCCAACCCAAAGGAACGTGGTTTGAATCCATCCGCTGCTCCGTGGGAGGAAGATGGGCAGTTTCCTTCTGTGCCTTTTACTGCCTCGGAAAACTTGCTGGAGGGTCAGCTATGGGTTGGTGCCAATGCAATGGTACACAACAAACTTTTTTCATAAAAGTGACAATCACCTTCAGGTTTGCTTACTTAAAATAGGTACTTACGTAGGTCTTTTGTGAAAGCGAAGTGATGTGGTATATTCTAAAATCAGGAGGTATGCCCGTTTACGATTTCAGGTAAGGTGTATGGAACTGAGCTTTTCCACCCCTGGTTTATCAGTCTACAACAATGGCCAGCTTGTCGCTCTGAGGCTGGAAGCTGTACTGATGACTGGTTTTTTGCAGAGACATCCATGGTGGACAGGTTTCAGCAGATTTTCTGGGCCATACTTAAACAGGACTGGCATCCACTTACCTAGAAATTACTGGAACAGCCTGGTATAGAGCTGGAAGCCGAGCCTCTTGGGCTGGAAGGCACTCAGGTTGGGGGTAGGACAGACGATGGGGGCAGGAGCTTCATTTGTTGACATGGGACTGGAGAGGCAGCTACAAATCTCATTAATAACTGGAATGTGAAGTGGATTAAGTATGGATCCAAGAAAACTGGAAGCCATCAAGAGTTATGTGAAGTGCATAAACATCGGTACCTGAGGCTGAAATGGACTGGGAGTGGCCATTTGATAGTCTGCGAATTGAGGAGCAAGTGTTGAATTCATCATAAAAAACAACATTAGAAGATCTAACGTTAAGTACAACACTGTCAGAAGAACTACACACATCCAAATTGTAGAGCCTCAAGTCGCCAACTCAGCTGACCCTCCAGCAGGTTTTCAGAGGCAGTAAATCACATGGGAGTTGTTGCCTGATTTGCTCCCTGGAGCAGTTGACAGATTTGAACCATGTACCTAGGTGACAGAGCCCACTCAGCTTGCTACTAGACCAGCAGTGCTCCCTGTCCATACAAGGCCTGTAAACAGAACCATTCACGTCTGTCCCACTGAAGACAAAGATGAATAGCTACCAACTGCGATGTGAACAGAGCAAACGGGGCACTGATGATGATGGGAATGAAAAATTTGGAAATGAAGGATTGATTAGAAAATAAGGCTTTGGCAACAGAGTTTGAGATCACGTGGATAGAGTTTTGATGATCCTGATTTATTTCGCAACAACTTTTTAGAAAAAAAAAACCCAGCAGCTGTACAAAGTCTATGAAGAAGGCAAAAAAAAGGGGGTTATTTTAAAAAAAAACCAAAAAGGGTGTTTGCAGAGATGGTGGAGAATTCTCTAGAATACAGAGCAATTTAAGTGAACAAAGGAGAGCTAAACAGATCTCGGTAGCTCAGAGAAACCCCACAGTGAAATGGAGTTAGCTGGACAAGACAGCAGCTCAAGCTCAGCATTTGTCAAGCTAAACTGAAAAAATTCGAGCTGTACTTTTGAAGTCTAACACCATTCGCAACAATGGGCAGGAGAGTGAACAATGCAGGAAGCATCAGAGGAAGATGGAAATGAGACATGGAGTGACTACCAAAAAGAACTGGTGGTTCACATTCAGGAGATAGTGTAGGGTTCTGACAGCAAAGGAAGCAGGAGTCCAAGCTTCACGGAGCTTCCAGGAATAAACAGAATACCAAGTGAGGTGTTTCAATAAAGTAGCAAGGTAGATTCATGTGCACCAAGAACCGCGCAGTTACTTAGGCTTGGAAGAGATCCACAGATGACTCATTCCAAAGCAGCATGCTCTGTCAGCACGTGGAAATTATCAGAGTATCTTCCTATCACAGACAAGTGAAATTGTGCCAAATGGTTGCAGCAGTATATTAACAGAACTGGCAGTTCATACCGGATTTGTACAGTTAGAGAGATCACTGCTGATGTCAGAATTCCAGAAAGCTGTTTCTTTGTCCTCTGAGCTATGTAGAAACATCCAACTGCGAACTGTTAGTACTGAGAGGTGACAGTAAGAACAATGTCACTCCAGAACTTAGTGTTAACATATTAACTTGCAGAGACCTGAGACAGTTGTTCAGATAAGGGAATATACTACATGGTGTAAAATC